ATATATATGTGTGTGTGTGTATTCCTCAGGCTTTTCATGATCTCAATATATTCCGACAAATAAAGAATAACACTATCATTGGTTGGTTGTAGCACAGAGTACCCGTAATAGGTTGATTTTAATCACAATCATTAAATATAATTGTATGTATACAATTTAGGAGGTTATTATTAGTTCATTGGGAGATTATTATTTAACTAATCTCAATATATTGAGACAAATGCAAAATAGCACATAAAAAATATCGTACAGTAGTTGGTTGTTTGTAGCACTGGGTACTCACGATTGTTTGATTAAAGTACACACACACTAAATATAATTTTTATGTATACAACTAATTAGGAGGTTATTATTTAACCTGAATCAATTCAATGTATTGTGACAAACACAAAATAGCATAATCATTATGGTTAATTCAACTACAAAAAAAAAAACATCAGTCACCAGTGTCAATACTATTTTACAAACAATTTAACAAATTTGTAATAATTAACTGTTCTTCTAGTATACTAATACAGTATTTCATGGCATACAAGTCATGTCAACATATTTTTTTTTCGATATTTTTTTTAATTATTGGTTTTTGTGGTTAGCACCATCAATTGTAACATTTTCCTATGGTTTTAATATAAAGTGGGTAATTATGTGAATATAATAAAGGTTGAAATGTAATGTCAGTTACCATGGAATTACCCAATATATAGCATATGAGGTAATTAGAAAAAACAAAATACTGTAGTGGTGGTTCGTAGCACCCATTAAATTGACTGATTAAATCACTTCTTGCAATATTTTCATGTCATAGGTGTATGCAAGGGGGGTCGGGATGGTTGTACACGACTCCTAAACATTTTCAAAGGTTCACATTTTTTCCAGACATTTTTTTCTAGGGGCTTTTCACAATGACATAAATAAAATAATCATTGATGAGGTACCAACAATGCGTCCAAAAACTTTGCCAATTGTGCAACATACTGTAATCTATCTCAATTCCATAAATTTTGAAACTGAGCCTGCCATCTGCTTCAAGCAAATTGTATTGATATTTTAATCACCTCTTGCTGTTATTTCATTGTGAAAAGGTCCAAAAAATTATGATCACGACCCACCCAGAAAAAATCCTTGATACACAACTGCATGTATTAGGAAGTTATTAAAATTTCACTAAGATATTCCATACTTATAGTTAACTTTTTCCTAATAATTATTGTCGATGGAGGGCAACCCAGATACTCAACATGAAATTAAACATTTCTAATTAAACACACACAAACAAAAAAAAATCATACATCTTAAACAAAATTTTGAAGGAAATGAAACTTCAGAAAACAATAGTGTAGAAAGTGCTATATATTAAAAAGTTTATTGAGTGAAAGTAGATAAACTTTATTTCAAGTAAACAGCTTTAAGTTATTTGTGATTACATTGTTTACTGGAATTTAACTATACATTTAAGACATGATTGACTGATAGCAAGCTATATGTTCAATGATTACTGTGAACAAAAAAATGTTTTTAGTCCAACATACACGAAATGTCATCAAATACACATTTAACAAATACTAATGTTATTTTGGCGAGTTTGGGGTATTCTCTCTGTGCTGAACACTCAAGAGTTCACGCACAGTTGAATCCATCCTTTCATTTCCCTTTAAGTCTGCTGCAAATAGGAAAAAAAAAACACAAGTGAGCATGATAGGTACATAAAAAGAAACTGACAATAACATAATAACAATCCTAACTTGCATAAAAAACAATAAACATAAATTAAGTCTATACAAAAATTTAATTTGCAGTAGTACTAGTAATACTCTGGACTAGCATTGTTTTAGTTAGCATATGAGAATATCCTGTGTTAAAAACATGATTTACTATACTATACTTCTTTATAAAACATAACTTGTACTTTATATTAAGAGAAATCTAAATATTATCGGTACCTGGAACAGTAACACGAAAGTACTGTACTATGCTACTGCACTGTAATGCACAGGCCTATTTTAAGACACTCCTTAGACAGGCTTATCCATCTTGACATTTTTCAATATTTTTGTAAATATATAGTGGTGTAGACTAGTCTTTTAAGAACATTTTGCTTGAAAAATATTTTGGATACGACGCCCCGTTATGGAGTTATAATATTTTAAATAACATGATGTCAGAAAATCAGCCCAAAAGCTTATCTTATTTTGTCATCACTTAAAAAAATGTATACCGATAATTCGTGGAAAAGGCCTATATCCTCCTTTTCCTATACTCCTATGCCTAGACCTACTACTACTAGAGCTAACTAGGCTAAGCCTATTACCTAGGCCTAGTACTATTTATAATATTATTTATACCCACGGATCACCTTATCCAGGCATTGCTGCTAGGCCGCTACTATAATACACTATAATACATAACACAGGCATTCGTTCAAAGCATAAACCTGCTGAAAGTCTCATCATTGGTTAGAATACCTCTAAACGCTCTAGCATTTCAAATAGTTCAAATGTTCCCAAATTCTTTTGAAAACACACCCTGGAAATTTCTTTTCAAGATATTCATCGACATTCTTCATCAATTTACCAAATGATCATCACTCTGCAGCCCTCAAAATCGATCAGTACTTTAAGGAGGGTCTCAGTTCAAAACGGCAATAAACTTTTATGACATATCCGGTATATTTTTTTTTGTCTGTAATTTAAAGTTTTATTCATTTGAACGTTCACTGATATTATTGTGTTTATTTTTATTATTTAATTTGTATTTTGTGATATTGTTATAAGGCCTATTTCTTATTATTATTACTGCTACTGTACTGTTTCATTATTATTATTTTTAATTAATGTCATTATATAATCATTTTGTCACTATTTTAAATTATTTAAATGTCTACTGCTTTTATATTGTGTTTCGCCCAATATTATTATTATTATTATTATTATTATTATTATTATTATTATTATTATT